CCGTACCAAATTATTGTGTGGACAACTAATAAAATTGTCACGCTTGAATCAAATTACACATTTACAAGGAAACTCTTTCTTACAATTTTTATTTATTTATTCGAGTTAAAGCATACATTGTGCGTCTCAACTACCTGTTCTGACGCATACTACAGTCAATTCGTTAGACGCAGCAGGGAGCAAACCGTGCAAACAAAGCAGGATGGCTTTGTATGTCAAAGATCCACAGTTTAGGAATTGTTCAAGATGCATTCTTTTTAACCGTCTATCTTTGCGTTAAGGCATCTCGGACCGATAAGCAACAGTGATAGAAGATTCGATCAAGATTGTGTGTATAGAGAAAGTTCCAATGAAGTCATAGTCTACAGGGTGTAACGTTTGAGTTGAGATTGTAAAAAATCTCGTATACACGTGATTCGAAAAGAAAACCAGCTGACACACATCCTTTAGTATTTCGAGTGGAGAATCAAATGGACGTGTTACTAGTATTTTAGGGTTAGCTTATTTCAAGGTCATCTTGATCTTTCTTGTCATAAATCTAAACTTTTTATTTTGGAATCGTATTCTACGTGAAAAAATGCACAACTCTTGCTTGAAATATTTTTTTGTAAGTTCAATATTTTTTAAAGATATTTAGCTGCTTCTTCATGTTTACGTCAAGGATAATTTCGTTGTTTTATTAAAATGACGACGTTACTTTCTTTTGGAAGGTATTCCGTTTCATTTAAGAACATCAACTTTTATAAAAAAGTATAATATTGAAATGCCTGAGTCAATAATTATTCGAAGCACAGTAATTATTGGTGACCCGCTGGTATTGTGACACCCTTTGAAATCAAAATAATAATCTGTGAAATAAATATCTGTTTAATGAATTAGCTAATAATTAATTGAACAAAATCGATGTAATTTTCTAGTTTCTGTTATTGAAATACGATCTGTTTTCATAAAATTGGTGAAAATACATGGATATTGTAACTTATCTTTACACGTTGAAATATTCTCTTATATAATTTCATTACAGATCATATAGCATAAATATAAATTGTTTTTTCTGCTTAATACTTTGACTGTCGTGTCACAGATCAGATTTACAAATTAATATCGTCCTAATTTTAGTAAGATTCGCAAAACATAAGAACGTCGTAAGTAGTTGATGACATACAATTTTCTTTCAGTCTCTATTACACGTGATTTTCTGAGACAGCTTCTTTTAGAATGTTCTAAAAACATGTCAAACACGTGAAATATGTAAATCTAACGCAAGTACAACACAAGAAGTTTCATGGTGTAGTATTTGTATATTTTATAGAAATTTTAGGGTCCGTCCATAAGTTCGTGCGGTTTTAATTCCGATTTAAATGGCTTGTATAATGATCGCCTAACAGTTATGTTTCATACGTCATTCGATAGTTTTGGTTTTCTCCTGTTGCGCGACTGTTTACTTATTCGTTCTGTCCAAGTAATAAAGTGTTTAATTTTTTGAAAACTATGAAGCATCAAGTTAACAATAACGAACATCTCTGACATGTTTTGCTGCCTGATTAAATTCGTAATAAAAATTATTAAAAATAATTACTTGAAAATTATGGTGCGTCAAGTTAACAAGAATGAACGTATACGATTCAATTACCTTTTGTTAATTTGACACTCCATAGTTTTCAAAAAGTAATCACTTTATTACTCACACGGAACGAATAAGAGAAACGTGCAACAAGACAAAATCAAAGCTATCGAATGACATTTGATACACAACTGTTAGCCAATTACAGTAAATTCTCCCTAATTGACGCTCAGATTGTGCACAACAATGGATATTTCGGGAAGAGAAGATACGATTATTCGAGTCTTGCGACTCATTTTTATAGTTATTGATTGTCAATAACTATAAAAACGAGCTCGAATAATCGTATCTTCTCTTCCCGAAATATCCATTTTTGTGTACA